CTTTCCGACCCTATTTAAAAAGTAATTAGCCGAAAGGACAACTTGTTCTCACATGTTCTATGATAACCCAAAACTACCTAACAAGACATTCATAATTTCTTTTAAAGTCCGATTTTTCCGCTCAACTACTATTTTATTAAAGATATATGGTGATTTTACTTCATGAACAACATGTTGTGAACAAAATTCACCGAATGGTTCAACGTATTTACTTCATTTATTAAGTTGGTTTTCAACTTACTGCTTATAAAGTATACATTTCTTTATAGCTTTATCTTTGCTCTTAAGCAAATATACATAGTAATACTTTGTGCTATCATCAATGAAGGTAATGAAATATTTATTCCCTCCCCTTATATGAATAAATTTCAAGTAACAAACATCACTGTGAATTAAATCAAGAAGTTTCGTATACTTTTTAAAAGTTTGAAAAGATGACCTTATTAATTTTGCCTCAATACATGTTTCACATTTATAATTATAATTAATATGAAATAAAGGGATATGTTCTAAGTTAATTAATCTTACAGAGCATCCTAATTAACATGTCCAAGCCTACCATGCCATAAATTAAATGACTCAAACATATAAATGAAAGCAAAAACATTATTCTTATTCATGTTTTTGGCTTTTACAAAGGTATCATTAAGTTTCCATGTATCATTCAATACATATCCTCTACTCACAAACATTCCCCTTTTAGAAAAAAATCAGCTTTTGAGATTCAAATATCATTCTAAAGTTGTGAACACTTAGGAGTGTTCTATAAAGAAGGTTCTTTTTTCGTATGTCAGGTACATACAAAAACATTCTACAACTTGAGTTTTTTTTAGAAGTTATCTTCAAGACTACATTACCCTTCTCTTTTATTTTGGAAGTCACGACATTACCCATGTAGAGCTTTATCCATTGTCGCAAGGTGTCAATTCAGAATAAGAGTCATTATTGCAACAAATATGACGTGTGGCTCCAGTATAAAGCCACTCTTCTCTTGGATTAGAGTCAACCAGTTTACTTCAAATATCACAACACATAGATCTATATCCTCCACATTCTCAGTCATTCTTTCCACAACATTAGCCTCGTAAACTTTAGCTTTCTTTAGATGTCTTCACTCAGAGAACTTGTGCCCCATCTTTTCACAGTTAAAACACTTCCCTTGAAATTTCCCCTTATTGGAAAATCCACCTTTAGGTCCCAACTTTGACCTATTTTTGTGTTTTTTCCTTTCTTGAAGTCCTTGATTTCTATCACATTTGTCTCAGCCTCTTTGAAGGTTTCTTTGACTCTAATTTCGTCTATTAAAAGTCTAATAACTAGTTCTTCCACGATCATTTTCTTCCTTTTTTACTTCATATAATTCTTGAAGTCACTCCATTCAGAAGGTAATTTTTCAATAATCACGACTACCTGAATGGATTCTCCTATGACCATTCTTTCGGAAAAAATCTCATTAATAAGTAGCTAGAGTTCCTCCACTTGTTTCACTACTGGTTTTGAGTCAACCATAGTAAAATTCAAGAACTCTAAAAGATAATATCTTTTGATATATAATATCTTTTGATATAATATCTTTTAATTTGAATTATTTAAAAAGAAGTTGATATCTTTTTAATATTTAATTTTTTTAAAATAATAAATATCTTTTAATTTAAAATATTTAAAAATATATTGATATCCTTTTAATATATTTTTAATATTCAAATTAAAAAAATAATAAATATCTTTTACTTTAAGATATTTAAAAAAGATATAATTATCTTATTAGTGCACGTTGATGACATATTTTCCAAATGACAAAAATAAGAGATTTGGGGATGAAAACAACGATTTTTTATTAATATAAGATAAGTACAAGGCAATATCTATTTAACAATGTCTCTCAAATATTTGATATTGAACATTCACTCTCTTGACATTCTTGATGCTCGAACCTGAAACCACAATGAATAACAACAATTCATTTACCACTGAAATCACTCGGTTCGTGCAACGCAATCATTTCTTAAATAAAAATAGTGACATTAATTATATATTGTTCTTTTAAATTCTAGACATATCTCATACATAAATGACCTTTTTTCTGGTGACTCTTATTATCATCATTTTTATTTTTTTATATTATATATATATATATATATATATATATATATATTTGTATTTGTGCTTTTATTAAAAAAAACTATTTTTATCTTCTAAAATTTTACAAATTCACATTCTTTTAAAAATTTACAAATTCACATTCTTTTAAAATTTTACAAATTCACCCATAATATAAAATAACATTAAAAAAACAACTTTTAAATCCATCCTATTCTAATCTAGTCTTAAAATTAAAATCAGATACAAATAAAAGAGAAATTATCTCATTTATGGAAATTTTAAATTTTATAAATAAAATTATACATAATCCTTCATATATAAAAAAACTAATTTTAAAAGACACCTCAATCTTTTTATTACGTTTGTAAATTATTTTTAGGGTAAAGGTCCCTTGACTATAAGATATTGCTTTATTGAGTCCATTGATTACTAAAAGTTATAAAATGGTCCATCGAATGTAGGAAGTTACTTTGTTGAGTATCTCGATTATTAAAAGTTACAAAATGGTCACTCAATTATTCATTATATTTTAAACCCGTCCTTTTTATTAAAAATATTAACGATCATTTGAGTTGTACGTTAACATGTTGATTGAGAAGTGATAATCATTTGAGATTATGAGATCAAATTTTATCATATCTCAGTCAACAGGTTAGCGTACAACTTAGGTTACTGACAAAATTTTAATGAAAAAGGACGAGTTCGTAACATAATGAATAGTCGGATGACCATTTTGTAACTTTTAATAGTTGAGAGACTTAACAAAGCAACTTCCTATACTCAGGGGACTATTTTGTAACTTTTAATAATCAAGAGACTCAATAAAGCAATATTCTATATTCGGGGGATCATTTGTGTACTTGACCATATTTTTTATAATTATTTGTGCTTAATTTAATAGTTAATTAATTTATAATAATAATTAAAAATTTATTATAGGATGATTCTTTAAACTTAATTTGTTGAATTTTTAATATGATTGAAATTTCTGGATTGAAATTTCTGATCATATTCGACCAATCGATAGTTAAGATCACATTTGTAAAGCTAAATGTAAAATACACAAATAATCCCTTAATTTTTAATTCTGTCGAAAAGAAAACATATATTAAAAAAAAACAGCGTATTGGAATATTGTAGGGTTCGTGGTGTTTACGAGAATGAATCCCTTAAGCATCGGAAAGCTCTAGATTTTTTTTCTTCTCACCTGTGAGTAAATTGGATGCCTCCCTTTATGATTTTAGTGTAAGGTTCCTTTAACTAAGCTCATTTTCAAGCAATGCTTTCGGTTCAAGATGTTTTTTAGTAAATAAAAAGAATACATCTTTGAAGTTATTAAAGGGTATTTGCCCAAAGCTAAAGAAAGTTACAAACTGTCATTCTTTTCACTGCTCCATTTTGATTTTCATGCTAATGGAAATGATTAAATTGTTATTAAAATAACTGTGGTGGTCACATATTTTCGATTATATTCATGAGTGATAAGGATGGAATAAAGGGTTGGATTCCTTTGAAAGTTTTTTTTCTCTCTCTTTATATATGTATATAACAAGAAAAAGAGAAGGGAGAAGAATTTTGTTTTAGATCATAAAGATGGGTTGCGATCACATAAAACAAAGATATGTAAATGTAAGGTTAACTTTAGTTCTATTAATTAATTGAAGGGCAAACTATACGTTTCATACCCTAACTATTAATTTTGATATGTTTAGGTCATCTAATTATTTTTTATAAAAAATTCATATTTAATATTTAGTTTTGGTTTCATTTTGATCACAAGTTGTTAAAAAAATCAACGATGATGCTGAATATCATTATAAGGTGATGCCACATCATAATTGTAAAAATGTCACATTAGCAATTCTGTTAAATTTTTTACCAGTGGGTGATCAAAATAAAATAAAATTTTAATACTAGGTATGATTTTGAAAAGAAAATAGTTGAATGACCAAAACGGAATAGAAATGATAGTTAAGGTACTAAACATGTAGTTTATCCAAGTGAGCCAACTTGCTAATTTTCTCATAAACGTTCTTCAGATGTGCACTTGTTAGAAAAATGAAACTAAATCATTCATAATTCAGAACAGATATTAGGTAGGATGAGAGTGTTTTATGAGTTGAATAAAATAATTTAAATTATTTGATTTGATAAATCTTATTTAATAATTTATTTTTAATTTAAATTTTTATATTGAATTAAATTTTTAAAATTTGAGTCGAAATGTTTGATTTTCTGTTTAAATTTTATTATAAATATTTATAATATTATGATATTATTGATTCGAAGTTTAATATTATGATTTTATAACCATGCGATACATATATATTCTTTTATATTTTTTCATAAGTGATATATATATATATATATCTTAGACAGTCGAGAAACTCAGGTTTATTCATTAGTTACTAAAAGTTTATTCAAAATCTATTTTACAACTCAACTCAAATTTAAAATTTTTCGTGTAAAATCGCATCAAAAAGATTTATTTTTTTAGTCAAATTTTACTCAACCCGGATTAAATTTGTTGGACTTGATCGTCATCATCTAATGTCTCGTATAATTTGGGAATCTGAAAGAAGATGCGAAAAGTTCTGCCGTCTCAGACATCTCAAGAATATAAAAGAAAATGCACATAGTTTAACAGTGAATCAATTGCATTACAATTCTCGAAATTTTCCGTACACAATGCTTTAAAGCTCAAGAAGCCCAAGTTCTCCTTTCAATCACTATTATTATGTGTTTTCTTTTTACCCACTTTATTTATTTTTAATTACAAACAGAAAACAAAATGGGTTTTATAAGAGGAATTTTTCAGTTGCAAATAATAATAATAAATCCAAGCATGTAAAACAAACGGGGTTATAATATTACATAAATTCCACTAAGTCCAGAAGATGTTGCATAACTCATCAGAAAATAAAACCCTAAAATATTTGGCAAATATATTGACAACCTGGAGACCAAAACTAGCATCGCATGATAACTGCACTCAAATACTTCTGCCTCCAACATTCACCGCGATCACCTATTCAGTACCTCGAACGACTTCTTACCCTGCAAATTTTACACAAACCCTTAATGAGCCCTCCAAGCATTACATATCAGAGCAACAGAAAATAAGTCCCGACTATCAGAGCAGAACCACAACCTTGGTGAGCACGAAACTGAACGAGATCGAGAACGAGAACGGGAGTGAGAGTGGGACCAAGACCGTGAGCGTGATCGAGAATAATATCTTCTAGAACTCCTACTAGGACTTCTACTCCGTCGATACCTTCTGCAGTAAAGAAATTATCCACCAGATAAATATTACATCTTTAAAGAGAGCAGAACAAGAAGTTTTCACACTAAAAGAATGCATATAGCTAAAACACGTAGTTGCCCTGTAAATATCAGTCATAACTCGACGGAAAATATAATCAACAGCAGTTAAGAGAAAATAATCATACTAAATCCGTTGACAATGGAAAAGGGACAAAAAGGAAGAGAATGCATAATGGTATTAACTAAGACATAAATTTTCTGGATGTCTATTTTGTTTAAACTTCAGGCAGCACCTCCTCTTTTGTATACCAGGCTACTACATCTTAATACCTCCAAGTTACCTCATAATAATAAAATAACCGAGGGAAAACTTGAAAATTTCATTATCTTTGGTTGGTTTTTAAGGAGACATTATTCTACTGCAGAAAATATTCATCAGCCATATGGATAGAACATAGAGATAAAAATACTTCAAGATATAACCTTGGAGGAGAGCGACTGTAACTCCTACTGCGGCTGCGATGCCTTTGACGACTTAATCGACTTGTTTCTGCAAGTTTTTCCACTCTTTGACGCTCCTGCTCTCTCTTCTTAGCCATTTCCGCTGCAGTGTCTTTCTTAACTATAGAAGACAACCTTATCAAATCATGAATAAAACTCCAGAAAACGTGTAACACTACAAACTCTAAAGCCCTTCTCATACCAACTTACTGCCTCTCTTTTCTTCCAAGCATATTTACAGATAAAATAAATAGCTATCTAGGAAAAAAATATGATAAGAAAAAGTATACGCATACTTTGTTTATTTAGCTGTCTGTTCATAATCCTTTTTAGCCGCTCTTGAGGAGTTTCTTTCTTCTCAACCGGCCCCTGTTTGGAGGGACCTCCAGAGGCACTTGCTTTTGTCAACTTGGCTACTGTTGGTAATCCACTGACAGAAAGGAAATACAACTGTTAAAATCAAGGCAACGCAAAACAATAAACCAATAAATAACCGTTACATGACAAATATGATCATAGAAGTAAAAATTATGGTGATACCTTACTGTTGGTTTTGACACTTCACTGCTCTTTTCTTTATCAAGAGACACACCAGATGCAGGATCACCATGAAGTGCCTCAAGTATTTGACCAGAAGATAGCCTGCAGTGAAGGAAAAACATTAGATTCTTCCATAGGTCATGGTTCTGAAATACTGGGAAGCATTCACACAAATTCCATTTCAGGAAGAATGTGAGCTTTAGAAGGGAAGCCTCCTTCCTCTCCCTCTTTCCAGTTATGCTGATAACCCTAGGGCAGATATATTTTAAACCAGAAAAGTTTGCCTCAGGCAACAAAAGTGGGATAAGCTGCAGCAGAGTAAAGACTGTCCAATCTATCTTTGCAAGAATTAAAGGTCGAGTGCTCCGACCGGTTCAACTTGTCAGACTGAGATGGAGGAGATGATGGCGGAGAAAATCCTTCAAGCTTTGCTTCATCCCTGTCTCCAGAGCCTCCAAACTCTGTAATATACTCTATTTTTGGAGCCTTCGTTTTACTTCTATGAAAATCATCAGAATAACTACCATGCGTATGGCGCCTCGAGTATGGTGGAGAATATGAACGTGATCTTGACCTGAATAAGAAAATCAATACATTAGCAAGTCAGGCATGATGTCATAGGTTGGACTCCACCTAGACACCCTGTATGTAGAAAAAGATATACCTCCTAGAACGTGGATAAGCATCATAGGTTGGACTCTGCCTAGACACCCTGGACGTGGAAAAAGATATCATCAGCAAGTCATGCATGTTGTCACAACCCAATTCTAGGGCTGAGCAAAAAAGTGTTGATCCAAAAACCGAACCAAAGTGTTTTGGTTGGTTTATGGAATTCAAGTTTAAAAACCATGGTTAACCAAACCGAGCCAAATTCATTTTTTATTTAATTTATATTTATTTTTTGATTTTTATAATGGAAAAATAAGTTTCCTATATTTCAAATAATGAAAATAACTTATAAATATTATATAAGAATTATAAATTCTTTCTATTTATTTGAAAATTTATTTTTAGAAATATTTACATAAAAAGACTTTGAAAAATTATCAAAAAAATGTAAAAAAAACATTAAAGAAATCCATTTTGTCAAAATAAAGTAAAAAATGTCTAAACCAAAAAATTATTATGAAACCCGGGAACCGAACCGAGTGGATCTCACCCATACCCCAATTCTACAAGCTTGTAAAAAATATCTTCTAAAATTTTTACCGGTAGGGATCATTATGAAGGACTCGTGCTCCAGTTATCCGAGCAGCTTCTCTTTCTCTCTCCCTCTCTATTTGAGAAGCTTTCCTCCTTTCTTTGCGACTCAATTTCCTCTGAAAAGTTTAGAATTTATTATCAACAATATTAATAATAAACAGCAACTATAAACAATGTATCTTAACAAACTTACAATTGCAGGATCGCCTTTGACTACTTCGTTTTGTCTTTTTTCTTCCTCTTTTGCTTTTTTGTCCATGTAAACAAGCCAACCATACCTTTTCACACCAAATTCTTTTGCTATTATATCCATTCCTTCATCATTACTATCATCACTGTTGAAATCCTCATCTTCTTCTTCCTCATCATCTTCTTCACCCGCATCAGAAAAATGAGCTTCTTCTTTCCCATTTCCTTCATAAGAGAATCCAACTTGGGAATAAGAACCTTTATTGGTTGATTGCGCAGGCTGTGATCTGCCAAATATATCCAAAAAACCAAAAGAAAAAAGCAACATAACCACAGATAGCAGTCAGATACATCAGCATCAGTGAAATCGGCCAACAGGGCATTTATGATGAAATTATATTGTGCATGTAAAGAAACAAAATGAAGGACACCCATCAGCTGTAGAAACGATCTAAAGAAAACCTTATAAAAGGCCACCGAATGATCTTTATGATATATGGACCAAAGCCATTGGAAAATGGCTTTTTCCTGCTTTGCAGTAAAATAACTACTAAAGCAGAGAATAAACCCATCAAAGATGATTTCCAAAAGGCCATATGGAAAGAAAAATAAAAAGAAACCCAAGTTTATAACTTTGATCTTCTTTAATAAAACTAAGATGTCTACATTTAATTCCAAACAGCATGAGACAGAAAATATATCTCCTGCAACCACCATCTTATCTCCATGTCTAAGATCATTCCAGAGCCCCATGCAGCATGCAACATGCAGCAAAAGTATTGGTAGAGAAGCAGACTCTGTTAGAAATTTGAATACTGCCAACACTAATATTTTTTTGGGAAAAACACTTCAGTACTATCACATCACATGCATCACATTTCTTACCAAATGGGTACTAAGAGTATAGGAAAGAACATATTAAACCTGTCTGGTTGAAATGGTGCGATTACTTTTGCCTCCACTTCCATATTCACATGCTGTAAACCATCCTCATCGGTAACTGTCAAAAGATACAAGCCTCTATCTCATAAAGTTCATTTGATTACTCATCGCTATTCTTATAACGTATTTCTATCCTTTTATCTTTCATTGCAATACAACCAAAAAAGAGGCATTGGAAATGAACAGGACTAAACACACAATTTATCAATTCAGAGAAATAACAAAAGTACCGACATCCTCTACGGCGATGCTTAATTAAATCCCGATATCGCTCGAAATTAACAAACTCTTCTACTTCTTCTTCCTTTTCGGACTTCTCTTGATTCCTAAAATGTCGTGTCCCTGGCTCCCGAATAAAATCAAGTAGGGCTCGGCCATCAAATCTAAAACATGAGCATAACGAATTAATTTATAAAAAAATCGTCTAGAAGAATCCTGGTAATGAAGATAAATGAGAAATCAAAACTACCTATCGATGCTCGGCCATCAAATCTAAAACATGAGCATAACGAATTAATTTATAAAAAAATCGTCTAGAAGAATCCTGGTAATGAAGATAAATGAGAAATCAAAACTACCTATCGATTAAAATATCTTGTTTTCCATTCCAAGGTATCCTGTAAACAAAAGTAACAAATTAGAGATATTGATGGATGAAATAGAAGATTATATAAGGGGAAATAGAAGATTATATAAGGGAAAATAGATGCTTACAAGCCCTGCTGGTCTTGAGTGGCATGATAAAGGGCGTCGTCTCGGTGGATACGGCAGCGAGAGCCGATGACTTGAATGGATTGCTGAGGATCGCCGCGTCTTTTGGCAAGGTAGATGGCCCGTCTTTGTGCTCTCTTTCGAGCCGCGTCCATCATGTCGTGGACCTTTCTTTCTGATCTCCGCGCTTCGTGCCACATCTTCGAGAACAGAATCGGAGGATTGAAACCCTAAAGAGAGAAATAGGTAAAAGAAAACAATCTCAGGATCAATAATATGTGGGAAACTTTGTATTGTTTTGGTAAGAGGGAAGTGGGCTTTTACTTGCTCTGTGCTTTTACGGTCATTATATTTTCCCAAAAAGGGCCCAATTTTTATTATTACTATAATAATTTACACCACTATATTAAATTTTTATGCAATTTTAAACAAATTATTATGATATTAAAAAATAATAGGGTAAAGTACATAAATGGTCCCCCAACTATAGGGTACTACTTTATTAAGTCCTTTGACTATTAAAAGTAAAAAAATGGTCTTTCGACTATAAAATGTTACTTTATTAAGTCCCTTGACTATTAAAAGGTACAAAATGGTCACCCGACTATTCATTATGTTTCAAACTTGTTCTTTTCTATTAAAAAATTGATGGTTTTTAAGTTGTACGTTAACATGATTATTGAAATATAATAATCGTTTGAGATTCTGTGATCAAACTTTTATCATATCACAGTTAGCAAGTTAACGTTCAACCTAGAATAACGTCCATTTTTAACGGAAAATGATGAGTTTGAACCATAATGAATAGTCAGGTGAACATTTTATAACTTTTAATAGTTGAGGGATCATTTATGTTCTTTACCCAAAATAATAATATATAGTGTTTTTTCAATAAAATTTGAAAGTTTATATTATTTTATCTTAACTTTTGAATATTCTAAAATTTTTAACTCTTGAACTTTTATAATAATAAAATTACTTTTTAAGCTCTCTAAAATAAATTTATAGTTTAAAATTTCTAACAAAGATAATGCATAAAATAATAATAAATTTCTGGTTTGGTGACTAGTTTGTGGTTTAGAATAGGAAAAGCAAAATTCGATTCATTTTGGAAAATTCAATTTTTGACTTGTCCTTAAAAATATAACTCAAAAATATAACTCCAATTGACAAATAAAATTTAAATTATAAAATAAGATATAACTCAATTTTTAATAATTCATGATTGATTTCAAATACAAATTAAATCTCTCAACTCTTCGTTATATATATACACACACGTATGTATTTGATTATGAAAGTTTTTTTTTTTTTTGACAAATTCTACATTAATCCCAATCCTACTTAGAAGAGAACGAGAACAAGAACTACAGGAGAAGGAAGGTGGGTGCTCCTAATAGGATTAAAACTCATGACTTAGGGTGTGTTTGGTTCACGAAATATAAGATTACTAGTGGGAATGTAAGATTACTAGGGAATACGATTACTGGGAATGTTGTATTTTGTGTTTGGTTGGTTTAGCAAGAATGTAAGATTACCGTGTTTGGTTAAAGGAATAAAAGATTATTGAATGTATATTTGACCAAATTGTCCTTATTATATATTTGTTTTTTTAACAAGTTGAAAAATATTTATACATTTTCTTTAAAAAATTTAAATTCATAAAATTTATATATATATATATATATATTTACAAAATTGAAAATATAAAAAGGTTTAACGAAAGGGTAAAATTTTATTTTAACCCCTGAACTTCATATAAAATTTTAATTATAGATTTTTTTTTTGTAAATCTAAAATAGTTTAAGGATAAAGTTGTAATTTAACCTTCGTAAAATTTTTATTATTCAATACAGAAGAATGATATTTTTGAAAAACAAATTAAGGGCATTTTAGTCCAAAATGCCGGTAATCCAACAATACATAAGGAAAGTGACGTAATGACATTCCCGGTAATATACAAAAAAAATCTACTATTGGTAATAAAACATTACCGGAAATGAGATTTCCAGCCAACCAAACATGAGAATGTGGATTTCATTCCCATGAGAATCTCACATTCCTTGAATCAAACAGGCCCTTAAGGGAATATAATGATACAAAGATAAATAACTTGTTCAATCAACCAAATACACTTACTCGATTATAGAAGTAACTTAAATTAGAATCAGTTAATACCAAAACATTAAAAATATTTACTATTAGATTTTAAAAAATTTAGATCAACTCGACTCAAAATTTATAAACTTGACCTTAATAAAAAATATGAAATAAAATTTAAATTATAAAATATAATTCATTACCTAAGTTAATTAAAATAAATAAATTCGATTGAGTGACCCCTGATTTGAAATGTAGTTTGTGTACCTAGGACTGATTATCACATTCCCGTGTAGTCCGTAACGTGGTAACGTGAAGTGTTAAAATAGCTTTGCATTGATTAAATGCAAGGGCAGGCAACTCAAGTTCAACAACACAACAACTAATGGCTGTCGTCTTCCCACGTTTTCTAAATTCCCCTCTCCCTCACTCTTCACTTGCTTCTTCTTTGGCTCCGCCTTCACCCAGGCCTCAATTCTTTGCATCTTCTGCACCATCATCGTCATCTCCCATGGAAATCGCCCCCCAAAAGTACACGGATTTCACATTCGTCTCTGCCCCACATAGGAACCTTATGGTTGATATGGTGTCGACGATGGAGAATCGTCTGGACTCTCAGCTCAAACCATGCACTCTACCCTCTGATATACAATATTACTACACTCCAAGTGGGAACTCCCATGGCTCACTTTATATCAGATCAGGCCATACCTCTTCTCCGGTATACTTTTACTCTCTAAACTTTTCACTTCAATTCTTTCATTTATTGTTAAGAAGCATACAAACTTGGGCAATTCGATTTTTCAAAGCTGTCCATTCATACTGTTCAATTTCTTTTCTTATTTAACTCAAGTATGCACGCTTGAGTTGGCAACTTCTCCAGTAACTGAATGAGAATGAACTCAAATTGAACGGAAAATGCATCCTTTTAATGATCAACTGCTTAGAAAAAAACAAGTTGTTATTGCAAGGGTAAAATTAGAAATGTTGAATTGTTGATGAATTTAGGGTTCCATGCCTAGTACTTTTCGGTACATGTACACAACTTTTGGTATAGAAACGTTTTGCCGTTGGTTCTAGTGAATAGGATATTCCTATTTTTTTAATGCAATAATTCAGTTTTGGTTCATTGGCTAGAAGGCTTGTTGAAAGCTTTCCACAATTGCTGCTAGTCAAATCAAGAGAATTGTGTAAAGAATAGGTAATATCGTTCATGTTATATGCGGCTTGTGGTCTTTGATTTGAGGTTAATGTTTCCTAGGGTGCTAGCTTTGAAATTAAAGTTTTCCTCCTATAATTCCATATAATCTGAAGGTCTCTAGCTTAGCTGGCCAATTAAACTTTTGAAAGGCAAGATGAAGTATCTAGTTCATAGGTAGTGAATACAAGAGTGCACCCAATGGATGAAAGAATAACGACGTTCACCTTAACCCCCCACCGGAGAAAATAAATCTAATGAATTGAAAGAACTATGAGATGTTTTCTAATATTAGTATGATCAATGGATTTTGGATAAGCTTTGCATGTTTTCATGCTCGTCCTACTTCCTAGTTCTAACCTCTGTGTGTATGAATCTTCCGGTAAATTTTAGATGTATCATTTCTGTAAGAATGCTTAAAATAACATCCTCAGGTTCCAAACTCCATTTTTAAGGCTCACGATCACCAAAGTTGATCATTGTCGCTGAAAAGGTAGGGAACTAGGGATGATGTTGATCTAAGGGTATCCTATTGGTTTTTAAACTGATTCATGGAATCAAAACAGCATCATATGTTGTTTTGTATTTGAATTCTTGGCTGTGTTTCCCAGGAACTAGTTATCTCTCTCTGAGTGCTAAACTAGTGGCTATTAAAACATTTGTGAAGGTGCATAGGTTCCTCCTCAGTAACACTCTGGTACCATCGTTGTTACAGAAACGTCCAGCACCATGTTCTGCTGTTTTCATTTTGTAAATGCACTATATTGCTTCATATATCATCTGAAATTGGTCAGTTGGTATTTTGCTGATGTGCAAGCCTTATGATCTAGTGTTACATTTCCGGGATTCTGAAAATATGGTATTATGGATGTTTCAGGTTGATTTCGTTCTAGGAAGTTGGATAAACTGTAAGATGCCAACAGAGGGAGCACTGAACATAACAAGCCTTTCAGCATATCTGAATGCTTCCACAGATGCCCCGAATTTCCTGATTGAACTCATACAGAGTAGCCCTACATCACTTGTTTTCCTTCTGGATCTGCCCCCTCGAAAGGACCTGGTCTTATATCCCGAGTACCTTAATACTTTTTACGAGAACACCCGACTTGAATCACTTAGGCAAACGTTTGAGAAACTCCCAGAAGTTCAACCTTACTACTCCTCTGCTCTTTACATTCGATGCCTTACATCCCCAACTTCAATCATGATCCAAATCAATACAGAGGGATCCAGAGAAGGACGCATGGAGGAGATTATAAAGGATCATGTACACCCGGTAGCAAAAGAAGCATTGGGGATATGGTTGGACCGATGCGCTTGTGGACATAGAAATGTGGACGAGGAAGGAAAGGCATATTTGGAGAAGAGGGATGGGTTGATTAAGAACAAGACAATTGAGATTGATATAGGTTCAAGCTTCCCAAGATTGTTTGGGCCCGACATAGCAAATCGTGTATTAGAGGTGATAAGGGAAGCATACAATGGCTGAGTCCCAAATCAATGCACGCATAAAATGGAATCCCAGCATTGGAAAACAATTTAAGTAGCTTTTTTACTCGGTCAAGTCATTGAAACAGGGTCTGATCTTTTGTAAATTCAAAACTTAATTCGACTGAGTGAGTTTATTCAAATGTTAGGTTTTAGTTTCTGTTATATTTTTTTGGTGAGTTCAAGTTTAAATGCCATAAACATGCCATTCAAGCCTATAATTGGAATGAGGTAAACATAATTTTTATACTTAATTTTAGTATCCATTTTTTCTTATAATTAGATATTTAACATTTTAATGGTATAGTTATTTAAACAGTGCAATTAGATGTTCGATTTTTATTTTTATTTACGTAATTAGGTGTCTAACTCTTATTTTTCTGATATATTATATGGTCATATTTAGAATTTAAACATTTATCTTTTGAACTTGTAATATTTATTATATTTTCAATTAAATGAAGTTAAAATTATAAAC